GACCATCGACAATGGCGTTTTCGAGGTCGTTGCGACCTCTGGTGATACTCATCTGGGTGGTGAAGATTTCGATCAACGTGTCATGGATCATTTCATCAAAGTTTTTCAGAAGAAACACAAGAAGGATCTCCGTTCAGACAAGCGGGCCTTGGCTAAGCTCCGTAGGGAGGTCGAGAAAGGCAAGAGGGCGTTGTCATCTACTCATCAAGCTCGTATCGAAATTGAAGGCATCATGGACGGCATTGATTTCTCTGAGACTCTCTCCAGAGCTCGTTTTGAGGAGCTGAATGCCGATTTGTTCAAGAACACTCTCACACCAGTGAAGACTGTCCTCGACGATTCCGGCTTGTCCAAGAGTCAGATTGACGAGGTCGTGCTGGTCGGTGGTTCTACTCGTATTCCTAAGATTCAGTCATTGATTAAGGACTTCTTTGGCGGTAAGGAACCTAACCGTGGTATCAACCCTGATGAGGCTGTCGCCTATGGTGCTGCTGTCCAGGGTGGTATCTTGAAGGGCGAAGGCGGCCAAGATCTTCTTTTGTTGGATGTCACTCCCCTATCTCTCGGTATTGAGACTGTCGGAGGTGTCATGACCAAGATCATCAACCGCAACACTGTCATTCCCACGAAAAAGTCCCAGGTCTTCTCGACCTATCAGGACAACCAACCCGCCGTTAACATTAGGGTCTTCGAGGGTGAGCGTCCTATGACCAAGGACAATCACGAACTTGGAAACTTCGAGCTCTCGGGCATCCCACCTGCTCCTCGTGGTCAGCCACAGATTGAGGTCACTTTTGAGATTGATGCCAATGGTATTATGAACGTCCAAGCTGTCGATAAGGGCACTGGGAAGAAGGAGCATGTTACCATCACAAATGACAAGGGTCGTCTATCTGAAGAACAGATCGAGCAGATGATTCGCGACGCTGAGAAGTATGCTGATGAGGACAAGAAGACTAAGGAGAAGCTCGACGCGAAGAACGCCTATGACACTACCTTCACTCGATGCGCAGTGCCATCGAAG